AATTTTTCCTTCAGAAATTTGGTTGGCGACCGAAAGTACACTTTTACCACCCTGATTGGCTATACGTCAGGTCATTACGCTGCAATGGCACCCGCATTGTGACAGACCTTACAATCAGAGCGTTACAGCGTCGTGATCCGATCAAAAGAGTTTTGAGGCGGCAAGAGGCGAAGCGCTTCTTTTGAGAATAACGATCGTTGTCTTGTTTTAGAAGTACTCAAAGTAAAATCTGTGTTATGCTGTTATTGGTTGGTTACGATTTGGATTGATTTCGTTGATTGTTATTGATTGATTGATGATTCCTTCCAGAGAAAAGCCCGTCGCTATAATTTGCCAACATTCTAGCTCACGTGACAAGTAAGGGCTGCGTGTAGACTGTGCTTGGCCCGGCACAGCCTCGGGGAGCTAAAAGGGACTCTTCCTGATTAATTCTAGGCACGTGACAGATAGATGACTGCTGCTGACTACTTGTCCCGCACAATCTTATGGAGTTAAAAAGGATTCTCCCTTATACTTCAAGATCGAGCTGAATGATCACGAAAATTTCAAAGCAGACGATTCCTTGGTCAAATTTCCAAAAACGTTTCATGTACCCAAATCACCTGGTCGATGACGTCATAGGGCAGGTAAGCCATGTAAAAGGCATCAAAATTAACCACTTAACGGGTTGTGCAACTAATGCAATGATAGCCTCAGGGCCGGGGAAAAAGTGCCTTTCTGTCAACAACGAATTTGGAACCGTCTGAATCGTCGCTGGGAGTCATTTGTCCAACACCTGCAATTTATTAAGTGCAATAAACCACAAAAGGCAGACAACTTAAATGCAGTGCGGTATAAACATGAAACATTTTCGTTTCGGGAGTTCATTTGCACTGAAGTTTCATTTACTGGCTATGAAACACTGAATGAAGGTTGGGGCTAACCTTACATAATCATCAGATAAAGACATACTTAACATAACCAACATAAATGCGTATAGTTTCCTTCATTTTTTGGGGGGGGAGGAGGCGGGATTGTACCTCCTCACCAGGGATACAGTTTTCTTTTCCTACTTATCATCTTTATCCATTATTTTTCATTTATCATAATTTGGGGACTCAGCCCCCCCAAAATACTTTGAGAGTTACACCCCTGCTGCCGCCGCAATTCGGGTGAGAAAACTGCTTTAAGTGTTCTCGCAGACAGGTTCAGATGTTTTTCCTCCCCCCCCCCCCCACTCCTCTTCCATCCCTCACCACCACATTTTGCAAAATTGCATTTATGTGTCACTACATTTACCGATAACATGGTTCTACAAGCAGCTGAAGCAATACCACTTCTGTTTCCGTGCCGTCCTCGTACAATCAACTGAAAGCGTGGACGATCTTCATTATCTTGGCGTGCTCATTACCGGTGCAGAGCTCGCGCTTCCTAACATGATCCCAATCATGTAAAGCAAAACCTATACATATTGGTATCAACAGAGGCAAACGACATTTTTGAACACCTTTGGTGAATTTACTCAGCTTTATATGAAATATGATGACAACTAAAACGTTGTATGCCATGCTTGTCCACCGATCAGTACGTTAAGTCTGAGTGCATGAGGCAATGTGAGAGGCATACGCCAGCGATGCTCGGCCTCTTTCCTCAAAGCCGCTGTTCTTTTCAGTAGCAGAAGACCCGGATGAACCCCTGACATGTGTCACTCTAACGACCTTCGTTAACCACTGAAGCTACAGGTCAGATATCTACCAGCAAACCCTGGATCGGCAGTTACCGGCAACAAGATGGGTGGGGGTGGGTGCGGGAAGATGGGGGGGGGGGGGCCTTCCAAGCCAATCGCCGCCGGACTCTGTGATAATCGCTTTTCTCAAGCCTGTGCTGTTTTAGATACGTGTTTATGTCCCTCCTCCGCGGCTTTTATTTACACGTGTATTACGTTATCTTAGCTATGGACATTTGTTGAACATTAGAGCCCTTTAAGTTTGGAAGCATTAAAAAAAATTGTATTTTACTTCATACATGCACTCTCGCCTAGAAGCTTTGTCTTCCATTTCAACCTTTGCTATAGTCAATATTTTGAAGGCGCTCTTTAAACCATTCAAACATTCTTACGAGGTCTTTGGTATAGCGTTTTCGCACGTTCTTTTATAACGCACTTCGTATCATGCGTATTCTCACATTTGTTAACTGAGTGCGCTGTATGAATTTGCTTAATGCACAGTCATTTTTCCAAGCGTATTTTGGTCTTAAAATATTTGTCTTGGATGCTTGATAACAGGTTTCAAACGTTAGTGTTGCCTACAACAACGCACACGACTGACAATCATGCTTGCTGGTTCATACTGTTATGCTTGTACGAAACTACTGCAATTAAGCTGTGATTCAACGTGGAGCTGGGTGACAATGCCCTATGTATGCATGCTAATGAGCATGGAGATTGCCTCATAAGCAAGGCATGTTCCTCACCGAACCAGGGGAGCTGCGGACGAATCCGCTTGCTGACAACACAACACACGGCGACGCTGGCGGTCCA